GAACGAGTCTAGTACCCTGATGTAGTAACTGATAAAATGCATGTTGTCCATTAGTACCTGGCTCTCCCCAAACAATTGGACCTTAAATATTCAATATTTTTGCACTTTGAAACTTATATTTTCCTTACATATAAGATAATATTTTCTATTATACTGTAGATTCTTTCTGTTATACTATAGAAAATATTCACCAGTACTGTAAGTTACAGTTTTCCCTGCTCGAGTAACATATTTTCCATTACTCTCCATATCTCCTTGTTGAAAATAAGCAGCAAATCTATGCAAATACTGATCATATGGTAATAATGCATGTGTTTCAGCTTTATAAAAATTATGATACCATATTCCAAGCAAAGCTAATATGACTGGTGCCTGAAAATAAAGTTTTATTATCCATGTCTTGCTTAAAACAATAAGAAAAAAATATGTAATTCTAATATTACATGTAAAAATTAAGTACTTGCATTTTTATCTAATGGAGCACTACAAAAATGTTGATCCATAAAATATGCCCCACTCAATAATTTTTCAAAATTTTCAAATCCAATAGACAAACAGATCGATAAACCAATAGCCGACCATAATGAATAACGTCCACCAACCCAATCCCAAAACCCAAACATATTTTTCTCATCAATACCAAATTCTTTCACTTTTTGATTATTAGTAGATAATGCAACAAAATGGCGTGCAACTGCTGTGGACTAGAGAAAAATTAATATATTTTGAAATTATTATATACCTTTAACATATGTTAAAATTATTAGTCCTACTTTCTACTTACATCTTTTAAAGCATCTAAAAGCCATATTTTGGCAGAAGTAGCATTTGTAATTGTTTCTTGTGTAGTAAATGTTTTTGATGCTATTATGAAAAGTGTTGTTTCTGGACTCAATTTCTTTAAGGTTTCAGCTATATGAGTTCCATCTATATTACTAACGAAATGAACTCGTGGTCCAATATGAAATGCTTTTAATGCCTCTGTTACCATCAAGGGTCCCTATGTACATAACAATATTAATAAAAAAGATCTATTTATGCTTTTTATAAATACAATTTATATGACCTACCAAATCTGAACCACCAATTCCAATATTAACAACATCCTCAATTGGTTTACCAGTAAAACCTTTCCATTGTTTAGAAAGAATCTATATGACATAAGATACAAATATTACATTGTAAAATTATTATTTTAGAATATTGAAAAGAATATAACTATTTTATATTTAAAGAGTGATAATAAATATATGCATTAATTTTACCTCGTTAGTAAATTGTTTCATATGATTCAATACAGCATTTACATCTGGCATTACATCTTTATTATCAACTAATATTGGTTTGTTATCTCTGTTACGCAAAGCAATATGTAAAACTGCTCTATTCTCCGTAAAATTGATTTTTTCTCCTTTAAACATAGCATCTCTTGCAGCTTCTACTTCTCGTACTTGTGCCTTGAAGTTAGTATATTACATTTATAAATATAATAAATTATTATTATGCATATATGACATTTAAATATAGTTATATAAATTTCTTTCCGTTATAAAATTAATGCAATATAATTTTGATAATTACACAATGTTACAATACATACCAATTCCAATAATAATTGTAATGCTTCTTCAGTAAGACGATTCTTAGAATAATCAAGCAAAATTGGTCCATCTTCAGGAGTAGAAATTTCTAGGCTAGTCAAATTATAAATTATTGATAAAGTGTGGCTTATATAATAATGTATATAAATAGAAATTTTTTAATAATCAAAGTCTAATTTCAACATCTTAAAGTTATTCTTTATGATATTTTAGTGTACAATATGTAACATATTTTATATCTGTTTAAAAGAGCAATTACTATGTATGAAGAAATAATCATTATTAAAAATTTAAATAAGAAATAATAAAAACATACTCATTTATATTATATACATAAACTATACAAGAAAAAAGTTGTAATAATTTTATTTCATTTTTAAACAAATAGCCTTTGAAAGGTCATGCTAAGGTCATATGTCAAGGACTGATGAAACTTACCTAAAATTTTCAAAGCGTTTTGGATTTTGTTGAAAAAGATCATGTATTCTAATTTTTGATCCATTCGCATTGAAATATTGTTGCAATTTATCCCATATTAATGTGGTTGTTAATTCTGGTTTTGGTTTCATCTTTCTTTCTTTTTTAATTTAAGAAAACCGCGCTATGAGACACAAACTTCGAACTCGTGATCTACGTCTAACGACTCACATATAAGATATGTTCTACCAATGTTCCTTAGACTTAAGCTGCTTTCCAACAAAATTATATTTTACAATACTTTCATGAGAATGTTGTGTGTGGATATCTTTAGAAAAAGTATCATTATATTAGAATTGTACTGTTTTTAAATATAGCCATTGATATTTTCATTTGATAAATACGCACAAATTTACAACAAATACTAATTAAACAGCGTCAAATGAATTAAAATTAATAAAATAAAAAATTGTTTAGTTGCAGGTTCTTTTTTTAAATTTTCTTACTATTTTGGACCTAACATTATATATAAAAATAACATAAAAGATAATAACTTTTTTCCATAAATTTGATAGTTTTCTTTTATTTAACGTAACAAATAATTTTACAATATTCCTAATATAATTTTTTTATGATACTCAAATATGATAATAAATTTAATTATTAAAATTTAATGACGATGATTTTAAAATATATTCCTTTTAAAAAATTCCATACTTTATTAAAAATTTGACAATTTTAAGACTTGAATTTGCATGAATGTTAAATATGTGGAACGTAAATTGAACCACGCATATAGAAGGAACGAAGGAACAATACGATATGTCCCAAGTGAATCGAGTACTATCGAAAACTCTGGAGTCTAAATTTTTAGGCTACTTTTCAAAGGAATCTGATCATTCCATTTTTTTATTACACTATATTATTGTAAGTGAAGTAATAAAAGCTGCAAAAGAAATTGAATTCCACTAATCTAGTGGATTGTTTTTATCTCAGGAGCAAAAATGGTAATTGACTTTTGTTTTGACTAGTTTAAGTCATGATAGATATTTGATTATTTATGTGGAATTTAACTTTCATATTTATAATTGAGAACACATATTTTAATAAATTTAAGATTATTACTTGGTTTATGTCCAATTTTAGATATTGTAATATCCTTATGTTAAAATACATATGTTTATCGTTTTTATATTGATACAAAAAATGTAAACATTTATTTTTAAAGTATCACGATAACATTATAAAATTTTTTATTATTAGTATATTCATACAATATAACCAACCAAATATTTAGAGAATAAGAATCATTAATTTATTAGCTATAAATATATCTTTATTTTACTATTCACAATAAAATAACTAAATTTTAATATATTTCTTGTCTGCTGTAGTCTCACACAATATTACTTGTTCAACCAGGTAATAGACCTGAAACAAGGACATATTCTGATTATGAAAGTGTTAATGAATGTATGGAAGGTAAGAAAATTCTATATTTAAGTTTCATAATTTTTAATTAAAACATATTTTAACACAAAATATATTTATATGATTTAAATAGAACAAAATAAAGAATTTATTTATCTAATATAGGTGTATGCAAAATTTATGAGGAGCACTTAAAGAGGCGAAATCCAAACACACCAACTATAACTTATGATATCAGTCAACTATTTGATTTTGTCGATCAACTTACAGATTTATCATGTCTTGTTTATCAAAAATCCACAAATACATATGCTCCATACAATAAAGATTGGATTAAAGAAAAAATATATGTTTTACTACGTCGAGCTGCAGGACATAGTGAATAATTAACGAATAAAAATAGATATATGCTTTTGTGTATAAGACAAATTAACTTTAAGTAAAGATCTATACTACTGTTTGTAATAATAAATACATAACCTACAAAGAAACTGTACTATTATATTATGAAACAATCTCTTTAATGTTAGTTTTAGATATAATAATTGCTTCTTATTTCACATATACATGTATTTATAATAAAATAGTTATGTTTTTTTAATCTTGTATTATATTTAGTTAAATGTGAATATTAGTCCAATAAAATATATATTTTTCTTAACATTAAATAAATTTTAATATTTTGTATTATGATAAAATGAATTTATAGATTGATAATTATTAAATGATGATTTGAAAGATAAGACAAATTATGTAAAAGAGTGTAAATTACTATTTTAAACATGATTAAAAAGAATTAAGTATTCAAATATGTATTGAACTGGTTCTTATTTAATATTTATCATTCATTTAGCTTTTATAAAGTAGAAAAACAGGATACCTATGTAGTGTATAATTTTTTTAGGTTTTTTTATTCTAATCTTACTTTGTAAAACAAATGAAATTTTTGTAAAGTATATGTTAAAAAATTAATTTAATATGAATTTAAAATAATAAAAAATATCCATTTGTGTTTCAATAAATTTACAAAAGACATTAATGAAATTATGGATCGAATTTTTCAAGAAAAACTTTGTTTTGGATATTTTTGAGGACAAACGTTAATATGTATTAAAACTAATGTAAAATTTAATAATAATGAATAACGTAAATGAAAAATATTTATTTAATATATATTACATCTATATCGATATGTTTATATAGATGTAATTTTACAAACAAGTTATATGTCATATATATAATATAAACAAAAGTTATAATGTATCTCAATTTTTACTTTTATGATTCATAGTCATTAGTAATAGCACGTTGTGTTCAATCACTTATCGATATATATGTTTGACATGTACGTACACACGTATATCTATGTACATAGTGATATAAAAGTATGTAAATTAACATGTTGGACTCTGTTTTACGCATTGCGTTTATACATCAGCTGTCTACCATTAGATACAGTTTTACTGAGCCACGAGAATAAGAGTTATATAAGATAACGATGCCTAAACGAGTTCATTTGTTGAAGGAAGAATCTCAAATCAGTTTTTAGATAACATTCAACTACTGTAGAGAACGATTGCCAATTCGTCAATTAGCTCTTAATGTTGCATTCTGTCGTGAACAAAACGTTAAATTTCAATCAACGATAGTGCCATTTAATTTATCATTTATAAACAACAACAAGATATTTGTGACATTTTGTACTGACAGATGGATGCTGTATTGTAAATCAGCTTTTTTTTATCAATAACAAGTGTTCAGTAGTGCTTAACATTGACAAAAATTGTTATTTTTTACATGCATTAAATGTATGAAGCATCTATGTGACAAAAATTTTATATTTTATAATCACGTGATTTAAAAATATCCTATGATAAGTGACAGAATGTCTGACAGTAAGATTGAAATTGATCCTTTCAGTGAAACAGCTCTGGAATTTCAAAGTTGCGAAGGTAAAATTATTAATATTGCTCAAGACTATTTTTGTAAATTTTAAACATTATCTAATACGTAAATTCGTAAACTTTTTTAAATAATATATTATTTAATATATCTCTCGTTAATAAGAAAGAATTCGTATGCTTAAAATACTTGCAATATATATTCAGTCGATACGCGAAGTCAATATGCAGTAGAATTTGTGAAAATTATGCGAACTTGCTACAAATAAAATGTTTATGGTATCTAATATATAACAAAACTTAATTAAATTTATTTGAATTTTGAAATAATTTATGAATTTTATTGATAATTAATTAAATAAATATTTTTATAAAATTGTATTTAATATTGTTTATTTAGCTTTTTTGTAAATAATATTTATAATTGAACCATATCTTTCATGTATTACAATTCTTTAAATTGTTGTATATTAAGAATAATAAAATATTTATTTCACATTTTTTTAAATTATAGTTTATATAGTTTGAAATTGTAAATAAATGACAAATAAAATAAATTAAAAGAATAAAAACCATAAAATTGTAATTGTTTAATTAATACTGTTAGATTTATTTTATTCTAATTTAAAATTGTGATATTTAAAGGAGTTACAGAAACAACCATAGAATCAAATTCAAAGGAAGAATTACAAAATGTAACAATTGAAATAACATATGCAGAACCTTTAACTGCAGAACAAATACGATGGTTTTATAAAGATGGTGTAGATAAAAGATGGGTAGAATTCTGTGGATATGATAGTTTAAGAATTGAAAATGCTTGGCATAATTATCAAAATTTACTTAGTAAAAGTAATGATGTAACTAACAATCCACCTCCTATTGGAAAAATTGTAGTTAGGGGAGGAATGTATGATGTAGAATTAGATAAGATGAAATGTGTTTCTATTTATTGTCCAGGTATATATTTTATTTAGCTTTAATTTCATCATTTTATTCTTGAAGCACGATTTAACGAAGTAAAAATAAATATGAATGTTTAAATTAATAAGAACTCCTATATTTAAAAATATATAATATATAACAATTTTCTTTTTATTTTTTCACTTTTGCGTTAAAAACATTTGTAATTTATTAGATGTTTCATTTATAACATACTTGCATATTATACATGATTTTATCTAAATCAATATAATAAATTTTAATTTTATTTGGAGGTGAAGAATGGGAAATAATGAGAGGAACTTGGTATTATGATGGCAGTTGGTTACCTTTAGAATCAGAGCAATCTAAAGTTATAGAAGAAGTTCATCTTAATCTTTTTCAAAAGCAATTTTCTGGTCAATCCACTTCAACTTGTGATACACCTTCTCACTCTTATAAAAGTATAAACTTTCTTTTAATTTTATGTTATTGTATACAATGTAATTAGGAATTAAATTTTTTTTATTTCAGTATTACACACTGAACATTTTCCAGAATTTCATGTTGATTGGCATAGTATAAATGATGTAGTATTATACAGTGAATATAGACATAGTAAATTAATGCGTAGTGTTACATCAAAACTGGGTTTTGCAAAAAGTAAGTATTTTAAAAACATATTTATAATGGTTATGATTAAAAATTTGTGTATTCCTTAAAATGGATATCATAGCAACAGGCTATCAGTTAAGAAGAGGATATAAGGATGCTGCTGTAATGGAGGATAAACCTCACGATATTGATCATATAATATTTGTAGTTCATGGAATTGGTCAAAAAAGAGATACTGGAAAAATTATTCGTAACACAACATTGTATGTAGAAAATAGAATTTTATATAATATTTTATTTAATATTTAAATATAATTACATAATTTTATTTAACATTTAAACAGGTTTAGAGATTGTGTAGATTGGTTGAAACAAAAATATTTTCCTAATTCCAATTATAGAGTAGAATTTTTTCCGGTTGAATGGCGATCATCATTAAAACTTGATGGAGGTATGAAATTGCCTTTTCTAGTGTATAGCAACCTTTTAATTGATGAATTTTTTATTTTGTATTTGATAAAATATTTGTTTAGGTATAGTAGAAGCTATCACACCTTTTAGCGTAGTAAGCATACGGGACTTGTTAAATACATCAGCAATGGATATTCTCTACTATACAAGTCCTCTTTATGGAGGGGAAGTAAGAGCTGGGTTACAAAAAGAGTTAAATAGATTGTATTTTATGTTTGCTAGTCGTCATCCTGGTTGGAAAGGAAAAGTTTCAATTCTAGCACATTCTTTGGGATGTGTAATTGTTTATGACATTGTCACAGGCTGGATGGGTCCAGATACAAGACCTCCATCTCCAGAAACACAAGAAGTTTTAAAACAACGATTACAATTTCCAGTGAGTATTATTCCTCATTGTATGAAGATTTATAATATAATATGAAATATTTATATATAATAAAAACAATTCAACGTTATATAATATTAAAAAGTTTTAAATTAAATACTTTCATAATTTCAGATTGAAAATTTATTTTGTTTGGGTTCTCCATTATCAGTATTTCTTGCATTACGTACTCCTCCATCCAACAGAACAGATGTGATGCCTGAAGGTTTATGCAAAAGATTTTACAATATATTTCACTGGTCTGATCCTGTAGCTTATAGAATGGAGCCACTTCTAGAGAGAGGATACAGCAAAATTGAACCTGTTCTTATTCCTCGATACGGAGGAGTTGATGGACAACAAACAGAACAGTCACCTCCAACAATGAGTAATGCTGACCAAAATTTTTCTCCTACAGGTATATAAAATATTTTTTATTTATGTTCAGAATGTCAATTCCTTTTTCCTTAAGTTTAATATTAATTTAATGTAAGATATTTGATAATAGATAATGATGAAAGAGAAGAAAATTCGGTAGATATATCTAATCGCACACCAGACAAAGGTTGGAGTCTTTGGGGCTTAGTTAGAGCTGGTTGGAATGTTAAAGAAGGTGTTTCTACACCTATTCAACCAGGTCAAGGTGAAGATATATCATCTTTATCATTTTAGTTTATCAAAAGTAATATTAAAAATATCAAAAATTTCATGGTAAAAAATATAATTTAATATTATTTTCTTTCTATTAGAATTAGCACAACGATTGGATTATGTACTTCGAGCAAGTTTAGGAAGAAATTATTTATATACATTAGCAGCGCATACAACATATTGGAGTAACTATGATGTAGCTTATTTTGTGCTAACAAGACTTTTTCCAACACTAGAAACATGATGTTGGTTTGTACATTTAGAATGAAATCAATTAGATTTTATTAAAATTTACTAGTCCGTTGTAGGCCTTTAAAATTTAATATTGAAAATGGGCCTACTACCAAAACAATCTGTGATAATGAGAAAAACGATACAATAATGTTATAAATTCTATGTAATCGTTTTATATCGCTCGCTTTAAGATTAATGTGGTCGAGTTTCACAATTAAAAAGCTAAAATGCGATTTTACATATTACAAACAGTATATTACTACAATTATTTAAATAGTTAAAATAATTATTTAAATAATTTAATCTTTTTAAATTCTTTGTCGTTAAAAAGATAAATTTTATAGTTTATGTTAAATATACAAATATAGTTTATGTAAAATATTTGTTTAAATTACTACATCATTGAATAATATAGTGTAAAAAATCTGTATTATACGAGACATTCTATATTATTGAAGAATTATTATTTATACTTACTTTTTAATTGTAAGATTAATATTACAACTAATAATATTAAAATGTGCTTTAAGAGATGTTAAAAAGTTGTAGTTAATTATCATAGCAATCTAAAATAATGAGTCTATATTATGGAACGTCTTTTTATAATAAGTAATAAATAATACAGGTTCCCATTTCTATTTTTAAAAATTAATATTAACATCAAATCGCAATCCTACATTATATTGTACATATATATTGCTTCGTATATTTTATAGCATGAGAGAAATGAAATTTATTTAATAAAATTTAAATTAGTTATTTTAACTTATATAAAATTAAAAATTAAAATTAATGTACATTAAATACTTTTTTCTTTGATATATTAACAACTTATTTTGTTATAAAAGGTGAAACTCGTCCTATATATTGAAAGTTTATGTAAAATAAGACAAAAAAGTATTTGTTAAACTGTATCAATCGAACCGATACGTAAAACAAACAAAATGATATCAATATATTATCCTTGCTACTTCTAATAGCAAAGGGTAATGATTTATGGTTATGTTTTAAAAAGTTTAAATTTTCTATTAAATAATAAAACATTTTTTGTAGTACATTAGTAAATATATTTCTTCAATATTAATTATTCTGTACTTTAGAAGTTCTTTCTTTAGTTTTGTAAAACGTACAAATTTTTTAAAATCTTTCTACATATTAAAATTATATTATTTCATCAAAACTTTACAAAAAGGTTAATATTAAGCATAATTCCATTTTGCATTCTATTTTATACCATTTTGTTTGTTCTCTAAATAAAAGAAATATTTTTTTATTATAATTTTATGTATAATATTGTATAAATTTGAAAAAAAACATTAGTGACACACATTACTACTGTATCTTTTTAGTAGATGCAAAGAATTTAAAGTAGAATGATTATAATTAAAGTCTTAACATTTATTTTATCAACATATTTGAATATTGTTGACATATTTTAGTAATGTAATATTCATACAAATATTATTGTGATTATAAATAATATTTACATATTATTATATGTAAATGTGTTCACACTATAGATTATAAATTTATCAGTTTCTAGAAAATTTAATAATGGTGCACTTCTTAATGACTGTTATGTAACAACAAATTTTTAAGGAGCTTTGTCTACAACACACAGTTTGGTAGCATGACAATAATATTATGTAATTATTCCAAAGATTAATATCATATCAAGTTTTAAGAAATAGACAACATAATAGGCGTGTAGGAAAAAGCCTCTAAATTAATAGTGCAAAAAAAAATTGTTAAATAAGATACATAATTTAAAATTAGCACTAATAAAATATATACATTCTTTTATTAAAAGAATTTCAGATTTAATATTTCAATAAAACACTTGATAATAACATAAAACACATGTATGCAATGCCAAAGTTATTAGAATGCATAATTAAAATTATTTGATTTTAGATATTTATCCATTGAAAATATACATAAATATATGATACATTTACATGTTAATAAACATATTTTTTTTTAGAATGAAGAAGATATTTTATTTATTCTTACATACCTAGATTTTTGCTATGATATATATAGATAAATATTTTTTTAGTGTAATTATAATTTTTACCAAAGACAATAAAAATATATATATTATTTATTTTATTTCAATTTTATAAGAATATTGCATGTAATTGATTTATATCACTTATGCGATTTTTTATATTTATATAAAAATAAGTAATATAGAAAATTGAAAAAAAGAAAATTCCATAAAAATTACAAAATTAAATTTAGTTATTTCACAAACCATAATTATCTTCTTTCAAAACTATAGCACACAAAAATAACATTAAGAAGAATATTGTGAAAGTATTATGTAAAGTATATTAATTTTTTTATATGATATTACAATGAAAATTATATTTAATTACAATTTTATTGTAAAATACAAAAAGGTGCATTTCTTGTTTAGATTTTATATTAGATATTAAAATTACTATATAGTACTATATTATTTGATTAGATAATATTATCTTTATATAAATACAAAACAATATTTATATTAAAGTTATTCAAATAGAGTCGTTATATAAGAATGAACATATATTTAATAGTAAAACCAAAAAAAGGAAATATTTGCATAAATATGTATTGTAAATATAATTTTCATCATAATCAACATGTACGAACATTTATTCTCCTCTTTTTCATTTAAACATGATTCATTATAAAATTAGTTACAAGTTAAAAAATTAAAATTATAATGTAGTTTCATGAATGACATAAATTGATTTAGAATTACACGAGTAAATATCAGAGACATTGTATATATGTATATATGCATATAGAGTTTCATGTAGCAGTCATTCGCAGTTTATGATTTTAGTTTTAAATCATTTTGTACTTTGAACTGTTAAAAGTATGTTATATCATTAGTAAACGATTAAATAATAAAATCAGACGTCTAACAATGGAAATTATATTATTAATTTCTTTGATAATTCCTATTGCCGGTGATCAGTTTCTGTGACGCGTGATGAACGTTTTATAAAAAAAGAAAGAAACGTTGTATATTTATAAATTAAATGAACATATTTTTCTTTTGTTAAGATACCAAAAATGCTTGTTCTGTGGATAGAGTGTTAATGAATAATAAACGTGAATAATTCATTCGATCTCGAATATAGTTGATAGTAAAAAATACAGAAAAATAACGGTATTCTACTATGTTTATATAAAATTTATCATTTTTGTTACATGTGTTCATACATATTGTTTGTTTAATAAAAGGATAGTAATATATGATGTTACTAATAATAACTATATTCTTTAGCAAATTAATGTATACGGTATTTACAGCATAATGCATAATAATTTAATAGCTGCCACCATCGGTTTAGCCATTGGTGTTATAAGTGTAACTGGTATTTTTATTTATCATAAAATTTTTGTAAAACAATATAGCACAACAGTTTCTGTACAGGAAACTGCCAATAAAAAAATTGATGAATTACAATCAGAATTAAAAGCTTTAAGGTAATGATATAATTTCATATAAAATATTTATTTAAGTATTTTTTAAATTTATATGTTATTCTACAATATCAATAAATATTTAGTTATAGATTGTAATTTTATTTTTTTAAGGTTACAACTAAAACAACAAAAAAAGAAAAGAAAAATTTCAAGAAAATTTAATTCTAACGATAGTATATATACTGTAACAGATAATGACATAGATGTTGATGGTTTTTCAACAGAAACTGATATTGGAGATGATGAATTCTATGACTGTTCTGATGGTGAAAGTGTTGCTAGCGATAATGACTTAAGGTTGGTATAATAATATAAATATATGTAATGTATGTTAAATTTAAATAAGTAACACGTATGAGGATTTGTAATTTATTCTAGTAAAAATGAGAATCCATTTCCTGAAGAAACATCTTAAGAATATTTAAATTATGCTATTTAATTCATGATTTAAGCATGATTACTTGTACTAATTTAGAAAGTTAGAATTTGATCATTTTGGCAAATAAAGTTATTTTAAAAGTGTAAAAGGAAGAGATTATATGTTCAGTAATATAGGATCTCAGAGGAACTGAATCAGTTGGACATAATATTTAAAGAGATTGATGAACAAGTAAACGATCAATTTGGTGTCAAGACTTATCATAAATTGCAAACATTGATAAAATCTTCCCAAGACAATGTAGAAATAGTATGGAGATTTGCAAGAGCTAGCTCTAGTTATGCAGAATTACAAACTGATAAAAATGTTAGAAGGATAATTATTCTTGAAGGTATGTGTAATATGTTAATCTATCTTTTTTCTACATAATATAATAAAAACAAATTATCTTTTTGATAGGAATCCAACAATGTGAAAGAATTATCGAAAATCGAAATCCTGATTTGTATAAGTGGTATGCTACCCTCATAGGATTATATGGAGATTATTTATCAAAAATAGACAAAATAAACAATGGCATTGTGTTTAAAAATTATGTAATAATGGCTTTAGAAATGCGACCAGATGATTTTGAATTACAATACCTTCTAGGAAGATTTAAATATGAAATTGCTAATTTAAGTTGGATTGAGAAAAAGGTTTATCTCTTAATTTAATTTATTATATAGCTTTAATATAGAGAAAACAGTATTTTTTTTATAAAATTAAAACCTAATCTGAAATATTCTAAATTTTTCTTTCATTTTTTTTACAGCTATTATTTGGTAGAATTCCAAATGCTACTATTGAAGAAGCACTCAATTGTTTTAAAACTGCAGTAAAGCTTGGAAGTAAAAATTTACATAATCAGTTATACATTAGCAAATGTTATATTGGTTTAAAAAATTATTCACGTGCAATCAATTTCTTAAAAGACATTTTAGATAACCCAATAGTAACGGCTGACGATGAAAAAGTACATACAGAAGCAACTAAACTTTTCAACGAGTACTCAGGATATTCATAGCGAAAAATAACGTATTTGTACATTCGATTTGTATTCAATAATTATGCTATTTCCATATTCATATACAGATAAAAACAACTTTGTTAAACGTTAATATCGAATAATTTACAATTATTATATGATACATAGGTACTAAACCATATGCAATTTAATCTATTACAGTAGATATCATAAAGTCCTTATTTTAATTGAAATTTTATGATAAAATGTAATTTGTAAAGATCTGCATAAAAAATGCACATCACTAGTGCGAAGTTTTGTAAATTATTAGGATTATATATTGTGTACAATTTAGCAAATAATATTTTAGATATATAGAAAGCAGCATATAATACCAAGGCTTCTAAATTTAGTTATTTTCTTAAAACAATTTATAGGATTTATTATTAGTAGTATTTACTGTATACATCTTTTAAGTAAAATTTATAAAAAAATAATACACTTTTGTATAATTAAATTGCAGTGACTTATAAAAAGTATAGATCTCGAATGATTTGCCTTCTCAATGTTTATTATTCCAATAGAAACATCCTATATATAATGTATCTTTCGAAATTGAAATATAATTAATATCAACGTTTATTGTTATCTACATTTTTTTCTCTATGTGGTTTAAAACATTCCTATTTTACTTAAAACATGCTAAAAATAAAACACGGTATATATTTTAGTTATTCTTATATTGTTGTACTATTATTTTATTTTGTAATTATATATCTTTATATTAGTAACATAATTTAAATATGAAACAAAAATTATTAACACAATTACAAAAAAAAAGTAAAAATAAGTAACAAAAATTTTTTACATTATATGATATATATTTTTTTCTATATTTTTTCTATATTTGTAGCTTAATATTGTTATAATAGCATTTGTGAAAATATTGCGAGAATAAATTGAACTTGTAGACAATTATGGATTTTTCCCTTGTTTTAGTGGATCAATAATGGTCCAACACAGCATCCCAGAACTCAGTAGATACTGGGTAGAGAATGGGGCAAGAGGGGTAAAGCAGAAGAAGCCCTTCTAGTAAAATAGAAGTGAAGCCAAAGAAAATATTTCAGGAAGAAATAGTTAGCATTGAATGCTTGAAAAAAGTGGTTCATTTAGAACATACACATAACAAGGTAAGTTGTGTTATTTAAAATGTAATTGTACCTATAAACTTTTAAAGTTTTAATTTAATTTATACCAATATTAAATTTCTGTTGTTTCTATTGTTTTAGTATTAATTATTATCTACAAATGTAAGATTAAATTTTTTTTATAAATTCAAAAATACTTTGTTATCAACAAAAAGTTATTTTATGTGCTATCTTATAATATTTATTATATGATTTTTTTACGATTAATTATAAATTAATAATTTAATTAATTAATATAATTATTTTTTATGATTACGATTAATATAAATTAATTATGGATTTGTGAAGGTTAGTATTTTTAATAAATACATTTTATAAAAGATAAGTTTTTGAGCTTTATATACATACTATAATAATTACATATAAGTACTTCATTACATTTTTCTTTAAATATTTAAGACACAATTTGAGATGCGTGGACTTTTACGTGGAACTTTATACTGTGCTCTATGGTATGGCAGTATAGTGGCTGGTTTTTTATTTATCGCTTGCCCTCTGCTACCACTATTATTCTTTAGTCCTCCAAAGTTTCGAAAATGTGGCGATCTGTTACTTTCTTGTTGGGAGCTTTATTCCACAGTAAGCAAAATAAATGTCTTTTTTTTGTTATACAATTATAGTTTTCTTATGTATAAATTATGTAATTATTAGATAAATAAATTAATAATTCTTTATATGTTTTAGGCTCTATTAAAAGTATTTGGCGTAAAAATTTTTGTATCAGGAGACCATATATCTCCAGATGAATCTGCTATTCTTGTAATGAATCATAGGACGCGGATAGATTGGAATTTTTTATGGGCTGCAATGTATCAAGCATGTTTGCCTAGCATAGCAACTCATAGATTAAAATTTGTTTTAAAGGACCCTATACGACATATTCCAGGACCAGGTAATGTGACAAAATATATCAACAATGTTGTATATATTATGTGCAATTTTAGCAGTTATACTGCACATCTTACTATGCAATTATTTTCAGAATGATTAATTATTTAAAAAATTGTTTCAAGTAGAATGTACTCTATTTTGAGAAAAACATCCTACTATGAATAGAAAACTTATCTAAGTATAGTTATCAAAGAGATTCGAGGATCTTTGCTTTTTTTTTTTTTCTAATAAAAACCAAATACTTTTGTATTAGTTTCTTAAGGTCATTCTAGATAATTATTGTTTAAATTCTCTCTAGTTAAATAGAAAGGCTAAAAATCATCATAAACTTTTAGAAATATCTCTAAAAAATCTCATGTACATAATAAAATGTGACCATAAAAATGAAAAATTTCTGTTTGAAACATTTTTTTCAAATAATACATAGTTTGAAATATATTTACATAAAAAGACTATAATAGGACATTATATATATTATTATAAATAGTGTTTGCATTACTATATGATTTTTATATGAAGATCATTGAAAACTGAATTAAAAATTAATATTCTATTCTTTTTCCTTAAATAAAATAATGTTAATATCACAAAACAATATTTAGAATTCTAAAATATTATTGTATAATAGGATGGATAATGCAAATGAATGGTTTCCTTTATATAACACGTCGTTGGGAAGAAGATCAAAGTCGATTATCACGAACTTTGGATTACTTAGTGGCACTTGACAGACGTTCCCAGTTACTTATATTTCCTGAGGGTACTGATTTGACAAAAAGTAGTAAGGAAAAATCTGACAAATATGCAAGACAACATGTTCTACCACAATATTCTTTTATTCTTCATCCTAAGACAACAGGATTTAGTTATTTAGTTCGACATCTTCAACAAGCAAGTTACCTAAATGCTGTTTATGATTTAACAATTGCATATCCTGATTATATTCCACAGTCTGAATTAGATTTAATCAAAGGAAAATTACCAAATGAGGTACACTTTCATATTAAACGAATACCATCATCAGATATGCCAACAGATGATTTAACATTAAGGCAGTGGTTAGAGGAAAGATGGTTTAACAAAGAAGAAATCTTAAAACAATTTTATGAAAAGAAAGCATTTTCTGATGAAACTTGGCCACTAACAAGACTGTGTCCTTTACATATTGCATTTAGTTTCTGGAGCATTTTAACAGGTATTGTAATATATGTAATATATTATATTATAGTATAGTATAGCATATATATGTATGCTATACTATATATATATACCCGTTTTAAATAATTGTACTCGTTTTAAATAATTTTCAACATTTTTATTTAAAATTTTTTTTTAATTTTAGGGTGTGCAATACTTTTACTTATTATTTCACCAGTATTCCAATTATGGGCACTGATACATTCAGCTTTTTTCATAGCATTATCATTTTTCACTACTGGTTTTAATCAACTAGAAATGGGGTGGTATTGGCGTTGGAAAATGCATTTTCTTACAAAAAATATAGTAAATAAGATTCAAAACTGTTTAACGTAAGTAGATCTTAGTATTAAATCGTATTATTTATTTATTTCCACAGTTTTCTTACAGATATAGCAAAAATTCATAAATTATTTATACATTTATGACTTTGAAGTATATTAAAATTTATTTAATTTTTTCACATTAATAAAAATTTTTTATTTGAATATCTTTATATATTAAAAGCTTTAAATGATGTAATAATTTGAACTAGAGCACAGTATATGTGGAAATACTTACTTTATAAATGTATAAATCTAATACAAAACTCATTTACATATTTTGATGTAAGACAAGAATGTTCAATATTGACTGAAGTACATAATGGAATAATAATGATACTAGTCTGAAATTATAACTCTATGAAAGGTATAATAGATTTAGTTTAATGTTGTAGAAAAGTTGACCCTCCATAGATTACTGTAAGATAAATAAATAATATATAATTTTTTATTCTAAATATAAAATGTGTATGTGTGTATACACATATATACATACATATGTATGTGTGTATATATATTATACATATATATAAAAAATACAAATCAAAATAATTTAATTTTTATTTTGTTATTATCTGAGGCATTTTAATAACTGAAATTTACTGCATTTCATAACTTTATTCCTACTTTGATACATTTTGTAAACTATAGAGGGTTAAAGTTGACATTGACAAGTTTTTAAAAAAAAGATATTTTATGAATTGATATATATAGGATATTTTCCCATATTCAGTATTAATATTTATATAATATCATTTCAGACTACACACATGATAGTATTTTTTCTCGTGTTTCTAAAATTTGAATTAATAGTCTATTATACAAAATATTAAGATTAATAATTTACTATTATAACTGCAATTATAAGGAATTAACAAATTTTCAAAAATCTGTGTTTTATCTAATACTTAAAATATAATAGGCGTAAGCAATGTTGCGCGCTCATAAATTATTGTATATTGAAACTGGTGCTTCAATTAATGCCAAAATGACACCATTGAAGTTATGAACATTCAAAACCGTCTGCAGTTTCTAGCAGTAGGTATTTAACATCAAACAATAAAAGGAAAAAAAATTGTTAATTAACTTTGAATTTCAATTTAGTTCCGTAACTACCATTTGCAACTAATATATCAGTACTAAGTTCTACTTAATATTTCGAACATTTGAAAGAACTTTAACCTTTCGCAAACTGTTATCAGCAATACTTAACAGTGGAAGAATTCATTCTATATTGTTATTATATCGCACTGATTAACTCTCAAACGATTTATTTTTCATTAAGTTACACTTTTGGAAGCTGAAACACATACTTTTGAGCTTGATTGGTTTTTACGAGTGTGTTATATTGCTCCCGCTTACTATATATAACATATTAAGCGATATTCAACGTCACAATGTATAGTAAATAGTATAAATCCAATTATTTATTTTACTCATTTTAAAAACTGTATATTATGGAGAAATAAAACATTAAATTTATACAAATGTTGATTGTTAGAATCAATCGCGAAAAACTTTTCTGTAATTGTGCTTTATGTAAAATTTATGCATGAAATATGTATAAAAATATTGAGAATTTTAGATGATTATATATTATTGTCAGACTTTATAAATATAATATTAATTTAACAGGAATAGTTTGATATTAAGAAGTTCTAAATTAGGTATAATTCAGCTATGGTTTTTAAATATTTAAAGACATTATATACATTTTTTCAAAATTATTACTATGTGTGTTATAATGATCTTTCTACTAAATGCAATTTATATACTACTGTCAATTTTGGAAAAAATTTTGTATTTTTTTTTCTATTATTAATTTATAATATAATCATTGGAAGACAATGATATCTAATTTAAAAAAATATGTGTAATTTTGCAATAATTAATAAATTTGGAATATAGCGCCGAATTAAGCGTTATAATTTTATAAAGATGTTTACTCTATGTATAATGATACAGTGATACAATCAGTATTATATTTAAACAATGTAATAAACATCTAAATTTTTATTTAAACGAAGCTAGTATTTATTCTTCATTTTTGTTTAAAGCTGTAATTAAAATCAACCTAGCTAACAATGGATACAGTGCCTCATTATCTCATATTTCAAAGTACAAATGTACATATATGTGGTAAAATAAAATTACTAATATGAAAAACTTTTTAAATTCTACAAAATTAAAAATTCAATCAAAGTAAAGTATGAGATAGTTATGCACTTAAAATTTCATAAAGAGTGATGATTTAAATGTATTTAAACTATACGAAATATAATCTTTTATTTTTAGTATTGACTGAATTAATGTTCAAAAAACAATTTTACAGGTTTCAATCATATTCTAATGAAATATTAGTATTACAATTGAAAATATAATGAATGTAAATATATAAATGAAATGTGTAGAATGTATAGAATGTAATTTTTAAGTATTTGATTTTGTAATAGTAGTTGGAGCTCTATTTTCCTATAGTTATAGAAATGTTATAAGTAAAAGTGAATTCATGTGCCAAAAAATATGTGTACTAGTGTACTTTTATAAACATTATTCAAAAAACAAGATAGAGTTGTATAAGAATTTTAAAAACGTATCTGCTTAAATATTTTCATTTGTTAAAACTTTCATTGCCACTAACATTAAAATTTTACTTATATCGGTTTGTAAAATAATAAAAAAATAATTAGTTAATGTTAATTATTTGTAAATTTTAAGTAATTTATGCATAATATATTTTGTCTTTTCTGATAGTATATGTTTTAATCTTCATTTTTTGTATATTTTATACTATTTTTAAGACATATGTTTCAATGTTTGTATTACTTAAACATTAAATTATATATGTATTACATTTAACATTATTAGCAAAAAATGAACAAAAATTTATAAAAAAATTCAAAGTAATAAATTTATCTTAATGTATTTCATGCTGTGAGAAATATGAAGTTTAAAATATTAATTGTTATTGATATGAAATATTATTGTATAAATGTGTATGAAACTAGTATAGTAATACAAAAATAAATAGAATGTAAATGCAAAAAATACATTTACTCTTATATTATCATACACAAAGTTTTATTCTAATTATTTATAAAACTGCAATAAAGTGAGAAATTATAATTTTAATAGTTTTGTTTCAAAATCTATTCATGTATTTTTCATAATATTTTTATTTTTATAATGGATGTAAATTGATCTCTACATTTTCAAACGTTTATTTAAACTATCATTGAAATATTAATAACAAACAAAAGATCATCCTATACAATTAAATTATCTATTAATAAAGGTAAATGTTTGAAAAAATTCTTATAAGCACTCTGTATATAAATACAATTAGTTATTATGTGTGTGTGAACAATGTTATTAACTTGCGAAAAATATGTAAGGCTCATCAAACATATTAAAAAAACAGTATTTATTTCAAAAGAAATCATATATGTTTATTTGTTTTGTCAATAAATATACTGTCTAACACGATTTTTTTCGCAATATGCCTTGGATGATTCTTATAGAGTTACTCATTTTGAATATGAGCACGAGTTCAGTAAACAGAATTGTTGTATCAGCCAGTTTTTGAAAAAATCGAATTTTGATAAAAAAAACTTCTGATTTTTAATCGAAGCAAAGTATTACGTGAAAATTAGAAACGTTAGAAAACTTTAATTGGTCTTAAATTACACAAGAAAGAGCCCTAAATATATTGATACTCATGATTATAATATTTTGAAGCTGTGAATGATCATAAGTAGCCATTGAAGTTTAAAAATGTACCGATATACGTAGCTTCTACGTACTCTTTTTACATTTTCACGAAATATTATTTATCCACTATGAATTTGTTATACAGTACCGGATTCTGTAGACGTTTCTGAAAAGGAAGCCATCCAGCAGATATGTCAAAGCAGTTTTTGATTTGCACAAATCAAAAAAATATCCGTCGAAAACGCGTTCACAGCATTTTGCCGCCAAGGGGTCATCGTTCAACTGTTTCGCGTAAGCAGTGCCGTAGTAATGCTAAATCGACATATGCACTCACTTAACGTATATAAGAATAATATATTTTTTATGTATTCTTGCATATTTATTACAAAATTATCACGAATCGTATTAATTACTTTTAAGTTTAAGAGAAGAAATAAAGTATATATAAAATTAGAGGTCTCCTAAAATGCGTCTTTTTTTTCATTTAGCTAATTAATAACACTGTATCAACATTACTTGACTTTTTTTTTTATTTTTTATTTTTTTTTTTTTATAACAGTTAATAACATATGAATATCTAATGTATTTTATACATACTTCATTCTCCTCTTAATCTTAAAAGTAATTAATATTATTCTTAATAATTCCGTAATAAGTGTGCAAGAATACATAAAAAATGTATTACTCATATACATTAAGTGAGTGCATCTGTCGATTTAGCATTGCTACGGCACTTACGTGAAACAAACGAACAATGGCCGCTTGGCGGTAAAATGTGAACACGTTTTCAATGGATATTTTCTTGATCTGTATGAATCGAAAATCTCTTTGACATATCTGCTAGATGGCTTCTTTTTCAAGAATGTCTACAGAACCCTATACTGCATAGCAAATTCGTAGTGGATAAATAAATGTAATATGTAATAAATATAAATTAATGATAAAATGTAAAAATAGTACGTATACGCTACGTACATCAATACTTTTGTAAACTTCAATGGCCACTTATAATCATTTATAACTTCAAAATATTACAATTATGGGTATCGACTGTATTCGCAGCATTTTCCTGTGTAATTTGAGACCAATTAAAGCTTTCTAACGTTTCTAATTTTCACGCAATACTTCGTTTTGATTAAAAAATGGAAGTTTTTACAAAAATTCGATTTTTTTTTAAAGTAAGGAAGATACAACAATTTTGCTTGCGGAATTGTGTTTAGGACAAGTAACTGTATAAGATTCACCCAATGCATATTGCAAAAAAGAAAAAAGTTAAAATTCATTGGACAGTGTAATTAATTTATTAAATACTTTATATAATATTTCTTTTATAAAACGGATTAATTGGGCTTGGTATAGGACTTGCTTTTAATACACCTGCTAATGGTTTTTTATTTGCATCAAAAGGTATAGCTGGACTTTTTCGAATTTGTGAAATATATTCAGATGTGTGTTGTGCTGTATTACATTGAAGAGCAATTTTCACTCGTTTTTTAGAATTTGTAGTAGTATTTATTTTATGCTGTCCTTTTAAATTTATTGATGTTCTCTACAATAAAAATATATATTAATATCATATAATAGTAATTTGAAACAAATTATATAACAATTTCTAATACTAGAAAAGATTGAAGATTAAAAATGTGACTACTATTACGTATTTTACGAGAAAATTAATAAAAATATAAAAATATTTAATAAAAAAATGTATATTATATAAATACTATACAACTTACGTGTTTTTCATTCTTTAATTTTGTTAATATAGGTATCAGCCAGTTTTGTTGTTTATTAAATATATTATTTTTTTGCTCATGGTTATTTGAAACTGAGTTTTCAATCATTTTCATACAAGATTTCGTGTTGTTACCATTCATAGGAGTAAATAGATTTATATTATCAGAAACATCCCATTTTCCAGTAACTTTCAAGTTTGTTGGCTTTTTCTTTTTACCTTGTATAATAATGTTTAATTTTTTCACAGTTGTAATTTTGTTTCTTTTTAATTTTACTTTTTTATTTTCATTCGTATTCTCGATTAATAATAAAGGATCCTTCTTTAATTTGTGCCTACTATATTTTATATTAGTTTCACAAGTATTCTCGTTTTTTTCTTTTGTTTTACATTTGTTTTTTTTCACACTAAGATCGTTTTCATCTGATGTATGCGACTTGTTTAAAATATCTAAGTTATCAGTGAAATCTAATTTATGTTTTATTTTCCTTTTTTTTGTTACAATTTCATTTTCATCTCTTTTTACATTTTCGTTACTATTAGTTTCATCGTTAATATTTTCTAATTCTTCTTCAATAGGTTTATCACTTTTATCTTGCATTAATTGTCTATCATTTTTTATTTTACGTTTCTTTTGAAGCTTATCAGAATATAACTCTTCCTCAAATTTCAAAAGACGTATTGCAGCTGACTTTGTATCCATATTTTTCTTTTGTATTTTTGGAACTTTTATTTCTTTGATACCTAATGGCATTTTACCCTCTGATAATTCTGTAAATCTATAAAAACATTTAATAAATTAAAAATTATCATTAATATTACTAATATTTTTGTCAGTTATTAGTTGAACAATAATTAACATACTCATTAATAAGACGACGTAATTGTCTACGTGATTTTGTTGTTGATAAAGGATGAAATTTATACTGATTTAACAAAATAACTATTTCTTTTGCATCAAAAGGTATTTGCGCTAATTCGACATCTACTCTACCAGCTCTTGGATCTAGTATTTTTTCTGTATCACATTTCACTTGATTTTGTAGAAATTTTGTTTCTCCTATAGTAGTATCTTCATCTATTTCTTCATCTGACAGTTCAATTTTTCTCATAGCATCAATACAACCAGTAGGAAAACCAGCCTATATAAAATCAACAATATACATTATTATAAATATAAATAGAAAACTTTAATTTAAGAGACTAATATCAATACATACATTTTTCCAAGCTTTAAATTTTTCCATATAATCCATACCAATATTTGACTGAAAAATTAAATATCTGAAAATATGTCTCATAATATGTCTAATTTGTCTTTCATCGTCCATAAGTATAAAGTATGAGACAAATGGCTTAATAAGTTCTGTTACAACATTCTCTAATATATCACCACCACTAATCTACAAAATTAAAATTGTTAATATTAACAAATATGTTGATAAGTAGTAACAATGAATCAATATTTAATATAACAAACCTTTGAAAGTTCTTCTAGAAATACTTCTGTTATATGCATGCTAAAACCATCACATATTTTTGGATCAATCAATAAATTTTCTAACATTTTAGAAATAGCTTTTATCCATTCAATATTCCATAATTCTTCTTTACATTTTTGAAAAGTTTGTCGAATTATTCTTCGAACTAACTATAAACAAACATTAGTAATCTAAAATTTATGACTTTATAGTATGCAATAAATTTATATAAAAAATGTTTTATAAACGCTTACCATACAAAATTTATCTAACCTATATTGATCTATACCAAACCATTCAGTACCCAATGTTTTCAAAGCACACGTTGTATAAAGTAATATTACATCTTTAGCTTTAAAACAGTGTACAATTTTACTAAGAGATTCTGCTAGTTCTTCTTGAATTAAAGGTTTATCTGACATCCACATACAATAAAATAAACCTTTCCATAACCGCATAAAATCTGCTTCTGTGAAAGCTATAAAAATATAATATATATTTATTTTAGTAATATAAGTAAATATATAGTTAAACTATCAAAGGTTTATGAATGAAGATAAATTTTACCAAAGGAACTTTGGGAACGAACTGTTAACCATTTCCTTAAATTTTTTAATACTCTATTTCGAGTTACTTTATCATTGCTTGATAGTAATCGGGCAAATTTAATTTCTTGTGCAATAACGACTACTTTTTTATTTTTTTCATTTATTAAAGTTACTTGCTTCATACACTGCATAGATTTCTGCAATGGTGCACGCGTACATCGTGTCTTTTTAACCGCCATTCTTAAGTGTTGTATTTTTTCTTTTATATGGAATTCTTTTTAAAATTTTAACTTAAAAATATTTATTCATACTTCACATATTAATCCCTAATTATATATGTATATCTATATTATAATTACATAAATTGTAAGATCATATTTTACAACTTCTTATCAACACGTGAATTCATAATTTGTAACTTCAGTTCATTTATAATGTGTGAACTTCGTTCGAAACAATTCCAGTTCTACCAATAGTAACATTATTAAAATATTATGCTATCAATTTCGTACACACGTTGATTTAATTGAAAAATATTAAAAGTTCTCAACATTTATTTTATTTATTTAAAAGACAACGAAGTTATATATAGATTTTTGAAACTGTATTAAAAATATACAATTATATTGACTGATTAAATACTTTTCATTATTTACATTAATATTTTTAAATATCTAGAAACTGGACTTTAAGAATCATCCCCTACATTTCGGCGAGATACTAATTGCAAAAAATTGACGCGCTTGACATGCAATTTTTTCTTCAGCATGAAAAATTGAAAATTTTGTATATTATATCGTTGTATGTTCGTGTTCAATAAATTAATCAACAATGAATAAGGTATAATTTTATTGAATATGTCATATTTTATTTTTTAGAGAAATTAAATATTTTTCTGAGATCAATTGTTTACAAATTTCTAAATCTTTATTATTAATGTGTTTTAATATAATATAATTTTTTTATTATCTTTCAATATTCCTAATATGTATAATAACCATTAATAAATTATTCAAGCTGACAAATTAATTTATTAATCGACTAAATTGCAATATTAATGAAACAATAACAACAAATTTTTTTTATATGTAAGGTGTTTATTAAATCACCTAAATATATTTTTTTAAGATGTCAAGATATCCTTCGGATTGCAAAGTCTATGTAGGAGACTTAGGAAGTGGTGCAACAAAACAAGAATTAGAAGATGCTTTCTCTTATTATGGCTCTTTAAGGAATGTATGGGTAGCCAGAAATCCACCTGGATTTGCCTTCGTGGAATTTGAAGATGCTAGAGATGCGGAAGATGCAATAAGAGGACTTGATGGAAGAACTATATGTGGAAGACGAGCTCGTGTGGAACCATCCAATGGGAGAAGATTAAGAGATAGAAGTTATTTCAGAAGAGGTGTAGGAAGACTATTTCATCCTGAAGATAGATGTTACGAATGTGGTGAAAGAGGTCACTATGCTAGAAATTGTCAACGGCACAGAAATACTCGTAAGAAAAGGTAAGTATAAAACATGTCTATTCCGTATATATTCTATGGCATGCAAAAAAACATTAGACAAGTAAGCAAGAAATGTATATGTGCTACAGAAATTGACTTAACAAATATATGCTTAAATGTACAATGAAATTAACTTGTAATTATGAATTTTATACAAGGTTTGAATTTTAATATATTTTAAGCAGAATAATGTATAACACAAATATTAAGTTAGAAACTATCAACTAAAAAAATATTATCTTTTTCTAATTTAGTATATGAAACAAAAGAAATACATGATACAGAACAATATTCTATAATAAGAAGATCTTATATACTAAGCCAAAGTGGTTCAGTATCAAGAACGATACCGATGTAATACTGACATTTTTATAGGAGACCCAGCTGAACAGGCATACACATGAGAAATGTGTTGCTACTGAGATTCTCGTGAGATTCACCTTGGGTTCACTTTGTGATACTACGTAGTTACAGCATAGAGTACCCACATTCCTCGGGTTTCTTTCTGCATTCTACAAGCAAAAGAGGGAAAGACGGCCGATGGAGTGGCTAGTTCTGCACACTACAATACTTCTAACGACCACTGAGATCACCTTAAACTGAAAGTTTTTGCACATCAGCACTACTGGTATCTCTGATATTCTTCACTCGTCTTACTATCTTTGCCAAATTATCACAATAGATCTAATGGTCACTGAAAGATAAACTGTGAGTCATCTCATCTAGCCACTCTTCGTCCACACCTGACATTCGTGCAATTTCATCTGTATAAGTACTCATCTGTTCTCTTCTTCTTGGCATTGCTATTGTATACCCTACAACTGTCTGCTACAAACAGCTGTGAAAGATGGTACATAACTAGAATAATTATATATTGGAACAGAATAAATATTATTTGTTTTAAAAGTAGTATAGCATTATATTTATAATACCTGGGAGTTTAGATTAGTTTTATGTTTTATCAATAGTAATATGCTTCATGCATACAAGCAATTTATATATTGACATTTAAGCAAAAGAAAAAAAAAATAGAAAATATTACAAATAATGAACATTAATTTTTCAAACTATTATATTACATTAATATTTTCATAATTATTATTTTTATATGAATATGAAATAAACTGCTATAGTTTTCCTGGGTACTTGTCGCAATTTTTGCAAGCCCAATTATTTCATAAATCTCTTTATATATTATGTAAAACATACTTTACAGTAGATTTATAAAGGAAAAGTAAGAAATTTTATATAATAGACATAAATAAACATTCTTGATAAAAGAAAGTAGCAATAAAGTAAAAAATTGTAGGCAGTTTTAATACAATCACGATTTTAACGTAATATGTATTTTAGATCCCACTCCAGGTCTTATTCACGGTCAAAATCGCAATCAAGGTCACGGTCTCGTTCACGTTCAAGATCAAGATCAAGAAGCAAGCATTCACGATCTTCATCTCGTAGCCGTTCTCATAGTAGAAGCGACTACACTAAAGAGAAACTCCGTAATAAACGACGATCTGATTCTAGAAATCATAGTCCACGCAGGACCAAATCTAAATCTGTCTCTAGATCTCACAGCAAATAAAGCAATGTATATTCTTCATTTGATAGGTGTATGAAAATCATTTTTTATGTTAGTAACTATATGTTCTACCAATTAAGCTGTTTCATTAATAATTTTTTCTAATCCTTTGAATATATATATATATGTATGTATGTATGTATGTAATTATATATATAAGTACAGTTATAGTAAAACATTAGTACAATAATTTTTAGTTCTCATATTTTTTAAATGTCAAAGAATATACATGTATGTTCATGTATACTTAATGAAATTAACAAAATGAAAATATAAATTGCTTGTTTAAGAACTTAATATTTTTTCAAAGTAAATATTTGACTTTTAGTTCAAAAATCATTTTTTTAGTCCTAGTAAATTAAAAAATTAAATTTATAACTAATTTTTTTATCGAAAAACTAGATTAAATCTTAAAACACAAAACTTGATTTTCCTTAACATTATTTAATTTCCATAAGTAATTTTTACCAAAATGTATTTTTTATTTAAAAAATAGACAAATTCTCCTTATAATATGAAATTTAATTTTTATGTTATATTCTGTATTGTAAAATTCGTATTCGTTGGAATTGGTATTCAATAAATTTTTGTCAAACATGCACATTTATTGTAATTTAAATTATATAATGTTTTTCAAAATGTTCCTCTTTTTATAAAAATAACTGTTATGTTAGATTCTTTCTATCAAAATAACAAAAATATCATGTTAAGTTCATTACTTTCAAATGTAATAAATGTGTATACCGCAAATGTAAACAATGTGTATATCCCTAAGAAGTTATGGCATGTACATATGTTTTGCAATGGGTTATGCAGATAAATAGAAGGCTTATGGAGTAAAGTTAAGAAAAAGAGATTAACAATGAATGAAAGGAATACATAATAACATATGCAACTGGTTTTGCAAGATTTTTGGCAACAATTCAAAAAGTTTCATGGTTTGCATGAAATTATATTAAATATTACATTAAAATAAATGTGACAAATTAATTTTAAATGTGCTATATTAAACATACAATAACATGTATTACTATGAACATATTTGCAAATAATGAACAAAACATTGCAGAAAGTATTATTTAAAAAATTATTTCTTTGAAGTAACCTTAATTGTTTATTTTTCTAGATAAACACTAAATAGATCGAATGTTTTCAATATCTATTACAAAAGATATTTTTTAATCAAGGTAAACCAATTGTAAATAATCGATTTTCACTATTTTTTATACTAAATAGTAGATAAAAAGTATTAAACTATTTAAAAGTATTAGTAGTGGATAAAAATTATTAATACAAAAAAAATATTTAATTTCTTTTGATATAATATTAAATTTAAATATAAGTTTTAAAAAAGTGACTATTTTTCTCAAAAAATAAAATTAAATGTATAAAAAATGAATTAACAGTTGGTTCTTATAATTGAATATAATTTAAAAAAATAATACAATAGAAAATTACTTTAAAAAGGAATAATTTCTATTAGAGTGCAATAAAAATAAAGAAAAAAATGTATAAAAGACATGTTGCTTAACCTGATCATTTCTAACATACAAAACAGTTAAAATGCAAAGAGATGTCGAATGCAATTTTTAGGGTACCAGGTTTATAATAAATTCTTGGATGCACCGCAGGAGATTTTGAGAAGTGGGGTAAGGAGTAAGGGTGGGGAAGTTAAGCAGAAAGAGAGGGGAAGCAAAGAGATTCGTAGCGACGCTTCGTAAGCAGACTCATTTGGTTTTCAGTCACGTATTTGTGATTCGTCGATTCGTTTTACGAGTCGTTTCTACATTCGTATTCACGCATAGGCTTGTAATTCGTACTCACCGATATCTTGATCGAATGGCCAAGAATTATACTATACTGGAAAAGCAATGAACAAATAGGTGTATTAGAAAAGAAAAAAAGAAAAATAGCAATGATTGCAGTAAAGTAGATCACGGTGTGGGACTATCTTACTGTTAAAAGGCGTCAAGCCAATTACCAGGGAATCAGGTTCAATTAAAAGGCGAGTAACAATCATCAGAATGACTGCTGCTTATACGAACGATCCCGTATCTCAGGAGCAGAACGTAGACAAGAAAACAGGCACAATAGTCAGTAAAATATTGAACAACAAGAAAGAACAAGTAACACGCGAAGAAAGTACCGAATTTACTTCTGCAGAAATGATGAAACTTGCAACAGGTGGTCAGGAGCAAACAGAAATCCCTGTTAATCAGGATAAATTGACGCTTTGTATTTCAGTTAAAACACCAGAAATACTTGAGCAAAAAATTGAAGATACTTTGGAATATAAAAAAGCTACAGAAGATGAACTTCTAGAAAAAACTGAAAATATTTCAATTACCATCGAAAATAATCAAAATACGAATATTAGTACTAATGAAATTAAAAATGAAGTGTTAAAAGATTGTGATCTAAGTGTAACAAAATCAACTTCGAATTCAATCATGTCGATGAAAGTTGATGCGTTTCTCGATGAGTGTGATTTCCAAGATGTAACGTCGGGAACACGTGGAACTGATTTTTCTCCGCAAAACAATTTTGAATTACAAGAATTGCAAAATTCTATTGAAAGCATTACTACGGAAGCGAGCAATTTTTCAAGCAATTTTGATATTTGCAACGGTTCGTTAGAAGATGCAGTTTTTCAGAAAGGTATCGAGGAAATGTATGATCCAGAAAGTGAACTGAATTTTCACGAAGCTGTACGTGCAGGGGACGCCAAGTGCGTCGCGACACTTCTTGCAAGTAACTCTGTACAAAACCTGGACGAACCGGATTGGAATGTTTCAGGTGATCCACCCCTGTTAGTAGCCGCTACGAATCATTGTTTGCCTATTCTCAGGTAAGAAATACTTTCAATACATTGTAGACCTATATCATTTTATTACAATATTTTTCCATTTTTAAATATATTATTTTTAATTAAACTTTTTATTACCTATATACTGATAACAGCGTAACCGTGCAACTTTGAAAAATTATCGTGTTATAGATCATAGAAATAAAATAAATGTAGTACTTTAAGGATTTTATATCGTATTAGAAGTCACGTTTAAAAAGAATGTTATTATAAAATTTTGAAATTATAATTATGAGTAGCCATTTTTCTTAAAGTTAACAAAATTTCGTTTAAAATTTATTAATAGATACTTATTGCGCCTGTTAATAATTACATTAAATGCAAACAGCTCATAAGATGAAGTTATATCAATTTCAGAATTAATATCAAATCTTAAAATAATATAAAATACTATTTTTTACATAGAAAAGGTTTAAATATTTTCTTAGTATAAACTGATCTATTAAGTCATCTAATATTATCGACTTCACCGAGTTTTAATTTTACCCATTAAATTGTAATACGGAAATATGTTGATGTTATAGAAAATATGCAAACGTTGGTATTATTGCTTGAAATTCACCAATCATTCTTAACAAATCTTATTCTTGAATTCTTTCAAATTTCATGAACATATTTTTGCTGACACGATTTTTTTAAATGTCTTCTTTACCATACTGTTACCAGATGTTAAAAGACGAACTTCTACTCGAAAGAATATTACTAATATTATAGCTTTGCGATACAAATAAAATAAATATGTATAAGAAAATAATTTGTACACGAAATGTAAAAATATAATTGTACAAACATAAGCTGTACATTTATTTTCTTTTCAAGAATACTAAAAAATTGTTTTATAATAACATAATAGTATTATTATTATTTTTAATATCACAAAATTAGAATTACATTTTTTGTAACCTATTTTATTAGTAATAATATTGCAATTTAATGAAAAAAAGAATAATTGAAAATAAAAATGGAAGCATGTCGATTTTTATAGTTTACTACTTGCGAACGGATGCGACCCAGCTGTGCGTTCCCCTCGTGGAGAGACGGCGCTTCACAGAGTGATTTTAAATGGAGGACCAGGAAATGTATTGCAATTCGTAGGAGAATTGTTGAAATATGATTGTCCATCAGGCGTAAAAGAAGCTGGCGGTGGCTTAACTGCGCTACACATATTAACACGACAACTAGCTCATGCACAAGGATCAAAAAATTTGCATCACAATTTTGAGGCGGCTCTAAAAACGCTCGATTTATTAGCACGCGCTGGTCCTGTTAATGCGAAGGATCATCAAGGCCGCAGTGCGCTCCATATTTTAGCATCCTCTACTATATTTGGTACAAACTTTATGTGCATTCAAATAAACGGGAATATTTTGCTTTATTTAATTATTAACAAATATATGAATATTATATTTTGTAACGTTTCAAGTAATATTATATCTTTTATTATCTTTCTAAAAATGATAAACCTGAAGATATTCTCTATTATATCGAGTAAACAAATAAAAGTAAATTATCTTATTACAGATAACAATCATAGAACTGAAATCGAATCATTGATCGAAACGTTGTTAGCTGCTGGCGCAGATCCATCACTGAAGAATGATAGGGGAGAAACTCCTTTGCACGAGTGTCTTGAGTGCGGTGCTTTAAACACTGCGTTTTTACTTATATCACCCACGCCAACCGGTATAATGTCACGTTACGGTGAAACTCCATTGCACATTGCCTCTAGAAAAAATTATGTCGACATGGTGGCGAAACTGTTAGAACACGGGGAAGATCCTAGTATACAAGACGCTGGTGGCAATACACCGTTACATTTAGCTTCTGCAAGAGGTTTTCACCAAACTGTTTCTTTATTGGTTACATCACCACTTGCACAATTAGAAAAATTAAATACAGAAGGATTAACTGCTCTGCAAGTAGCCGCCGAAAGTGGCTTTGTTAATGCAGTAAGACTATTGCTAAAAGCGGGTGCAGATCCAAGTCAAACAGTCCATTATTGTACGACGATTTTTCATCGTCATCCTGATATTTCCATTTTAATAGATCACGAATTGAGTAGACGTCGTCAGCTCGCTGCTTAATTATCCTTTTATATTACTTTTTATTAGTAGGTTGCTGATTTAATAGTAAATCCAATCAAGTTTTTATTTCAATTGAAATGTAATTTGTAATAGAATTTTAAATTTCGTTTTTATTGAAAATTCTATTGTTTTATTAAATATATTATTGATCACCTTGTATATCGAGGTACAAAAAACAAATATTAGACATTTAAAAATATTAAGATTAAAATTTTTCATATTAAATAAATATATAATACATGATTGCATTAAAACATTGCATTTTCATAGGATATATGTAATAACCATAATACTATAAAAAATATTTCATATGTTTGTACAGTCCTTGTATGATAATTTTGAAAACATCACCTTTGTTTTATTATTTTTTTCAGTGATCTTACAAAATACATTATCACAGGATTTAAATATTTTTTATTACATAAAAAATGACATTTTTTTATATTGAATTTAGTATACAACAAATAGAATATCTGTAAAACACCGAATTGCATATGTTTATTTATATACAATATCTGTAAAATTAAGAAAGATACAAAAGACAAAAACAAAAAGTGGTAAAATACCTTGATGATTTCATAGTATTTCAAACTATACATAAGTACAATTTGATTTCATTTAATATACATGACCTGTCTTTATGCAATATTGTAATTCATATGTAAATATATTTCTTTGTTGTTCAATTATAAGTACTAGTATTTGCTTGTTGCTCAAGACTGTCTAGTATTCAAATATGTGAAGCTAGAACAGATAAAGTTATATAAATGCCATAATTTTTGGCTGTGGATGAAAGTGCCTTCTAAAGACTGCGTGATATTGAGATATACATCCTAAATAAATCAATTTAAATATTATATTATTAAATATATCTTTAATATTATGATCAATTTATTATTTTAAAATATTACTTTTCTGCAAAAATGAATATAACTGTCCAAATAACATTATCACGTATTTTTTACAATATAAATAAAATATTAGGAGGAAGAAATAATGAAATAATCATATTTCTATAGTTATATAAATACAAATGTGCAAAAAAAAGGTTGAAGTGCTATCCATTTAAATTGCTATGTAAAAATTGCTTTCTTTCATTCATGCATTTATTGTCTAATATGTCTATTGCAACATTTTCTTAGTTTAAAAAATTAATTACATATTGAATCGCATTTATTATTTTAGAAAACTTAGCTTTTGTTTATTTAATAGAACAATATTTGCTATATACAACAAAATTACTAAATATTTAAATAATTTTTTCAGTTATGTGTCTTAAAAAATGTAACTTTAATTTATTTCTTTGCGAAATGTAAATTAACAAATGTTGCATTAGCATTTAAAAATATTTATTATAATATTTTTAAATACATCAGAACTAAATTTGTATAAAAAAAATTAGTTTAAAAATATATTATATTACAAGAATCGATTCTTTTTAAAAATGAGTAAATTCTTATTGTTGATCTGTCATAATACTGTCATATTTAAAGTTAAAACCAATTTTTTATCTTTGTTATAATATAAAAGCATCAATTTTACTATATACATGCTTCTATATCATATTATTATTATTATTATTACTGCTACTGCTACTGCTACTGCTACTGCTACTGCTACTGCTACTGCTACTGCTACTGCTAC